CTCTGTGCAGGCTTGCTGTAGCCCAGGTGACGAGGACACACTGCTGGGGACTGAGTCCCAGCTCTGCCTCCTGCCAGCTGTGTGACTAGGGCAAGGGACAGCCTCACTGTGTCTCTGCCTCCTCACCCATGAAATGCAGATCATAATAGCACCAATAACAGCCACCATGGTGTATTGTCATCAGGACAAAAGGGGTGAATTAACCCAGGACAGGGCTTAGCTCACAGCATTAGGAGAGCGTCAGTGTTGGCATTGCTGTAGCATCAGCTACAGGCTAGCAATTATTGCCCATGTACTGCCTTGTTTAATCCTCGTGAAGACCCTAGAAGGTCTATTATCACCCCTATTTCACAGATGACAAAATCTAAACTAAAAGGAAGCTCAAGTGAAACAATCTGCCCAAGGACACATAGCTAAGAAGAGGTCACTACATTGCACAGGTAATTAGACATTTCCCTCATTAGACATTCCTAACTCTCCAAATGGACCCATCCATCAAGTCCAGCTCAACCAAACCCCCTCAGGGACAGAAGAGGCTGTGCCATGGAGGTTGGGAGTGTGGACTGAGGAGCCAGACCACCTGGGCTCAAGTCTCATTTCCATCCTGTTCCAGAGTTGTTGTATGACCTTGGGCAAGTCACTTGCCTCTTTGGGCCTCAGTTGTCCTATCAGTAAAATGCGGATAGAAGCACCTGCCTCATACTTGCTAGGGAGATCAAATGAGTCAGCATTTGCAGCCCGTGAGATTGCAGCCCCTGGCACAGTCAGTGCTACCTAAGTGTTGGCTGTTCTTACCCATCTAGCTTCCCTGACCTGTCCCTGCTCCAAAGGCACAGAGCACCCGTCACTCTTCCTCCCTGCCTGGCACTCGTCACCAACCCCACGTTCGTTCTCCCTCCCCGCCATGCGCCAGGCGCGGGGTGGACGCGCACGCACTGATCTCCCTCACCAGCAGTCAGCCCGCTCGGCCGCACGCAGTAGGGCCTTAAAAAACACCAAGCAAATATCAATTAAAGTCTGTGCTCTCTTCAGAGGGATTCTTTTGTTATCTATTTTGTGTCTTTTTCTTTTTTCTGGGGGACTTCTTATTATGAACACATCTGGGCATCTGCACAAGGCCTATTTTCAAACCCCATAAAATTGCTGGAGGCAGGAGAAGAATGCCCTGTTCTGCTGGAGTCTGGCAAACTAAATGGCACAGCAGCCTTCGCTGTGCTTCATAAGAAGCAAACAATCACAGCCAAGGTTTGTCAACAATGCGTTCAGACAGCGGCAAATGAGAAACGGCCGGGGCTCAGATGAGTTTTGCCTCTGGAAGCCTCTCACGGGGACCTGAGAGGCAACGCTTCATGGCTGAGTCCCTCTGTCATGAACCCCGGGCCTCCCAGCCCCTCAAGGTGGAGTCTGTCCCGAGAAGTGCCCAGAATCTCTCCTGCTCTCTATCAAGCAAAATATGATGACGTTGTCTTTTCCTGATGTGAAGATGAGCACCACTGATGGAGATGAACAATGTTCACCTAAATACATTCAGCCCCATAGGGAAGCTGCCTTCTGTGGGTCTCTGTGCCATTTATGTGTTCCTGAGAAGCACCATTTGCCACATATCTTTGCAATGTCGTTGCTTTATATACTCGCCAAGTCATTCACATCACACGTTAGTGAGATGCTGCAAAAATGGCTGTGGCTAAGAGAGAAGCTTGCCTTTCTGGTGTCAATGGGTTCCACACTGGTATGCATTCACCAGTATCCTGTTTTCTTTGAAAACATAAGTGGCACGCTGTGGATTTGTTTTTAGGTTGCAATCTGCCCTTAACTCACAGCTTCACAGATAGAAAGGGAAATTATGGAGTTAGTCCAGTCCAGGCATGGCAAATAGATTCCATCCCTAGAAACCTCTCTAAATGATCGATTGATAGCAGGTTCCAGAAGCACTGCACTGGGAAAGATGCTCGGGTCAAGCCAGGGGTGATTAGCAATATCTGCCATGAGCACAGTGACAGACGAGGATAGCACACTTGCCACTTGGTTGACATCATGCCCGGCTAACCCTCTCGCCTACAGATAAAGAAGTTATATGGTTCGCTCAAGATCGCGCAGACGGCATTGGCAGGAAGGCAACGCTCACACTGCCAGTCGCACTGTCTCTGCTTCCCAGCTGTGTAACCCGTGATCACCCCACCACTGAACGAAATTAGCAGATAAAGCAGGGCTGTGGGAGAGGGGCAGACAGAGAAAGGTAATGAGAACCATGGGCTTTGAGAAGTTGAGGATGGCCAGGCCAGCAGGTGGGAGGAAAAGCTAGGCACACCACACCGGGGATGCTGTTATATTGTCATTATTTTGCCATGTATCTTTCCTTCCTTTCAGCAGGCAGCTAGAGTCTCTGAGCCCCTGGTGAAGGAGGCGGAGTGAGTCAGTTGTAGCAAAAAGTCTCCAAATCACACAATGAGGAAGGCTGAATGGCAGTTCGTGGCATTCCTAAAGCAGTTGCACGTGTGTGGGCGGTGCAGGGATCAGCACACATGTGCATGCGGAAAGGAACAGGCACAGTGCCTGGCAAAGAGTGGTGCCAGGGTGACTCTGGCTTGCTGTACTATCTGGAGGGCCATGGCGGTTCTTGGCTGCCCAGCACCCACTCCCCTTCCTCTGGTATCAGCACCATAATTCATTTCGAGTAATTGCTCTTCTTTCACTCTCAGTCCACATGTGCTTAGATGGGTGGGGCTGACTCCACCTTGGCTTTAGGGAAAGGCTTGTGACCAAGACTTAGCCCGCCAGAGCATCACAACCCAGTGGACACAGTGTTCAGTTCGGGGGTGGGCACATGACCTAAGAAGAGCCAGTGAGATTCAATCCCAAGCTTTCATTGGCATTATCTGGAGGAAATGCTCTTTTAGGCAACTGCAGACTGAGAGATGGGGAGGGATATGACAGTCTCAGAGTGAAAATGCAACCACAAGATGGATACGGATCAAAGTTAAAGTCATCTTTTGGGCACCAGTACATAGTCATGCCTGAAGACTGAGCTGTTCCTGAAATATTTTAGTTACATGAGCTAATCAGTTCCTGCTGCCCCCTCTCCTTTTCATGTGTTGGATTTCTGTCATTTGCAACAACCAGAACAAAAAGAATCTTCTCCAACATAATAAACTGAAGACCAATTTTCCACACAAAGACAGACAAATCCTAAAGGTCCTTCTTGGGCCCAGCTTATCCCAAACAGCTGTGTTACCTGCAAGGAGCTCTGGATGTCTTTCCCCCCGACAATCACGAGTTCTGCCATGTCTTCCGCATGTGGAGTCCTCGCATGGACGAACAGAGTCCTGCCCACTGCAGTTATGTTTCTCAGGGCAACTAAGCCGCCGTTGCTGTTCACCTTGAAGTATGGGCTTGAGACCTCATAGCGCAGCTTATTATTTCCCTTACAGTCACTGAAGGTCACTGGGAAAGAAGCAAACAAACAACAGAGAGCATGAGTAGGTTGGGCAGCTCAGTCCCTGAGATATGCCTGACTTGTTAAAGGTGGGTCACCTCACTGCTTCCTATCCTAAGTCCACAGACACTGCCTCTATCCCACAGCCAGCCCCTGGTACCCAGGGGACATTGATTGTGCTGAAGGACTTCACTCAATCAAGATGCATCCTTGATCACCTCCCACATTCTAGGCAGGTGTTAAGCACTGAAAATGCAAAGACTAACAGGGCAGGGTTGTACCCTCGAGCGTAGTGGGTGGCATGAATGTCAGATGTGGCAGAGTGACGTTTGAGGAAAGTGATCTGATCCTGGTAGGTACGAGGTGCTGGGGCTGACCCACAGCATGCTTGGTAGCACTGAGGACAGCTTCACTGTGACAATGTTTGAGCTGGGTCTTAAAGATGGGCAGGAGACTACAAGACACTAAGAGGGCAGAGGACATTCTAAATATTTAAAGGCATGGGGGTGGGGGGTAAATAATAAAATGGATTCAGGGAAAGAGAACTAACTTGTGCGCTTGGATTGGAGGCAGATTTGAAATGGGGCAGGGATGTTGGGGATATGGAAGTAGAGGCTGGACATGAAGCTGTGAATATCTTTTGGAGACCAACTGAGAAATCAAGTAAGTCAGGGTGCTTCCCAGTAGCCTTGGACTCTTCTTAGTGCGTAGAAGGTCAAGATCAGATGCGTGTTCTGGTTCCAGGAGAGCAATGCTTCCCAAGGCTGAGGCACATCAGAATCACATGGGGATCTTTTTAAAAACCCAGAGGACCCAATCCAAAGATTGTAGTTTCCTAGATCTGGGTTGCAGAGAATGGTTTAAAGAAGGGCGAGAAGGGAAGTCAAGAAAACCAGCTAGTCCAGTGTTGTAACAATGACGCCTGGAGAGGAAGACAGTGGTGGCGGTGATAAGGGGAAGGCGTGGATGTGAGCGGAGTTCCTAACAGCTGAGTGGCTTAGTCGTGTGTGGGAAGGAATAGGGGAAATCAGCACCCCTGGAGGAACCACACAGAGCACGGGGCATCGACACGGCGCAGTTGTGACCACTGATCATGCTCCTCTCCGTGGTGCTTCTGTACCTGGCACACAATTCTATTGTTACGGGAATCTCAACCCATTGCGTGTACACGTGTGTGCCTGTCCACTTTCCACTGCAGATGTCGAAGCCCCTGTGAGTAAATACAGAATTGTGCTACTTGCCATCCCCCAAAACATAGAATCATATTCGTACTTCTTGCTTTCAGTGCTCTGCTGACAGCCTTGCTTATTCAGTCAGCCTTTAACAGAAGCATGACACAGATACAGAAAAGTGTGTATATTAGAACATACAACTGGGTGAATTTTCACAAAGCAGGCACATCCATGTATCCTGCACCCAGACAATGACACCAAACATTGCCATCCCTCTCCCTTCCTGAGTAAAATTCATACCCTCCTCCTCAGAATCTACACTATTCTGACTTCTAATAACATGGTCTAGTTTCACCTGCATTTGGACTTCATATGAATGGAATCATACAGCATAACACTCTTCTGTGTTTGGCTTCTTTCATTCAATATCACATTTTGTGAGTTTCATCATGTGGCTGCAAGTCATGGTAGTTTATTCTGATCACTACACAGTAATTACTATAGTATCTGCTTATTATATTAATACTGATCACTATACAGTATTCTATGATGTGGCTATACTGATTTTATCTATTCTGCTGCCAATGGGCACCTGGACTATTTCTAGTTTGGGGCTCTTAAAATATTGCTATTAGAAACTTTCTTGTATGCATCTTTTGGTGACAACATCTACTTAGGGCTTAGTACACTGTTAAAGTCATATGAATATCTGATGAAGTAAACTGACCTTTCTATTCTGGGAAGATGATGCTTGAGATCATTTTAGCTGATAATAATGGCTAATGTGGACTGAGCACTTCCAACATGCGAGGCTCAGAGCTAAGCATTTTACATGCATTGTTCTATTTAATCTTTACAATGGGAAAAATGAGACGCGATTTTGATCCCCTCCCTCCAGTTTATAGATAAGGTAACTGAGGCTTGGAGATGGCAACTGGTGCCCAACACTCTGTTTGTAAATGATGAGCCAGGACCTGAACCCTGGTCCATTTATATTTCACCACTGCACGTTCTCAATAAAGACAGCACCTTACGTCGAACACAGCCCTCCTGAAATCCTATCAGAATCTGAATACGGCAGTCCTGCCTTATCTGCGGTTTTGTTTATCGTGGTTTCAGTTACACATGGTCAAGCGTGATCCAAAACTATTAAATAAAAAATTCCAGAAAGAATTTATAAGTTGTAAATTGCGTGCCATCATGAGTATTGTTGTAATCGTTCTATTTTATTATGAGTTATTGTTAATCTCTTACTGTGCCTCATTTATAAATTAAACTTTATGGGCCGGCCCAGTGGTGCACTGGAGAGTGCGCC